TTTTGAGTTGCTCTTGGTAATATGTATATTAAACAGCTGCTCTTGGAAACATATATTTTGGTGCTTGGGCCTCTTGGAATTGCTCCGTTTATTATTATTAGCACTTGTTCTTTTTAGAGGAAATATTTTACAGTCGCTCTTGGCAATAAGAGCATCTTTTGGTAATAGATATTGTATAGTTGCTTTAGATCACTATAGAAAAGAGATTCTAGAGCAACTGGTAATAGATACCCTAGATATTCTATAGCTGCTCTAATTCACTATAGAGGAGATATTTTATATCTCGATATTTTATATTGGTCCTCCCTCTTGCTTCTCAGTATTTTAGAGCTACTCTAGGTAACTACTGAGGATATTTTCTCCTCTAGAAGCTGATGTCTCTCTGTTCTCAACCAGGTGCACAGGCTGGTGGTGGTGGATGAGAACGGCAGCATCGTGGGCATCGTCTCTTTGTCGGACATCCTCCAGGCACTCGTTCTTAACCCCGCAGGTATAAATGCTCAGCATTCCTAAAGCTCATTTCCAGCAGGACCCTCCTCCTCTCAACCTCTCTCGCCCAAACCACAGGTACTACATACACAGGTTGCCTGACACACCGCCGCTGCTGGGGTCACCAGGACGATGCATGACCACTGCCTGGCTCATGAAGTGTGCGCCGATGGCATGTGCTAACTTGCACTTTCTGTTTCCACCACAGAACCAAACATGATTGGCTTTGATTCCAGAGGGCAGTTGACAAAGGATGGCCTGTGTTTGTGCGTGTTTGTGTGTGTGTTTGTGTGTGTGTGTCCACATTTCACCGCATATGATTTTGATTAATGAATGACACTTGCAGCACATCAGAGCCACTGCAGGGCTGCCCATCTGCTGATGGAGAGTGTCCTGCAGTATTTCAACTCAACCACTCAACACATGCACACAACACACATAATGTCGTAGGTTTTTTACAGAAGAATCATTATATAGTTCTGCGTATAAGTTTGCAAACCATTTGCAGAATATGCAAGATGTTAAAGGGATAGTTCACCCAAAAATTAAACTTCTGTCATCATTTACTCGCCCTCATGTTGTTCCAAACCATTAGTCTTTCATTTAATTATTGGAACACAAATGAAGATTGTTTTTTTAATGAGAGATTTTAAGAGAGAGGTTTCTGTCCCTCCATTGAACGTCTATTCACTTAAAACTCTGATGCTTCAAAATGTTCATAGAGACATTGTAAAAGAAATCCATAGAAATCGAGCAGTTTAATCCAAGTTTACTACATTCGAGTGCTGTATGTACGTTCGCTGATCAGTGTTTAAATGTAACAATTTTATATTCTGCAAGGGGTGTGTACACTTATGACTAAAAAAGACAGATGAGCAGAACTGTATAACTGATGGAATATGTTGCACATCTTGGTATGACAGATATCTAAATCCAAATCAGATGGTGGGTTATAATACACTTCTCTCTATTTTGTCAGAAAACTCAAACTTTCTGAATTTGCTTCTGAGAGGTCGCTGTGTGCTGGGTGTCTTGTTCTCTGTGAATTTATCACACTGAATATTAATTGCTGCTGTGAAGAGTGTTATGAATCCTAAGTACCAGATGTGATGCTGCTAATATTGCAAAAAGTATGCATGGATCAAAATATATTCTGCCCTGCTTTACAGAAATGAACGGAAGCTTGAGGCAAAAATGACACCAAATTAACAATAATGCCCCCCAAATTCAAGATAAGGGGGCAAAAAATGCCCCATTACAATTAAACTAAATTTATTACGACTGTAGTAAAAGACATACAGCACTCAAATTTGGTAAACAGAAGCTCATGTACTTGCTTGATGCACGAGAACCAATGAGGTTCATTCTCATGTCACCCCAGCATGTTTGAGCTTCCGCAATAACCAACAAGGTTTGTTCTCGAATGTAAAGCAAGTACGGTTGAGCTTCCATTTACTATATTTGAGTGCATTTTGTGAATAAAAGCCTACATTAAATCAGTTAATCATATAAAGTCTCTTTAGAAGACTTGGATTAAACTCTTTTTCTATTCATGTTTTTGGGTCAATAGTCTTTCAGTCGAGGGATAGAAAACCCATCTAAAATATCTTCATTTGGGTTTTGAAGATGAATGAAATTCCTATGGGTTTGGAACGTCATGTGAGTGAGTAATTAATGACAGAATTTTCATTTTTGGGCGAACTAACCCTTTAATGGAAAAGTTCTGACCCTGCTGCAGAGTCAAGGAGGGCCGATCTCAGAGCAGCTCTGGTTGAAGATGCATGTTCATGAGCTGCCAACTAGTGGTTATAGGCAGTACTGCAATTAAAAAGAGACCTCTCGTTTACATGTCTGCTCTTTTACCGTTGCAGGTATGACCAGGAAGGACAGCAAAGCAGAGACGGAGTGATGCGTGCTGAGATTGCTGGGCAATGTGACGTTGCTGGCAGAGACTGGAGACAATAAGTTTGAGCCACATCTCTGAATGAAAGAGAGAAACCAAGAAACTTGACCTAGATGTATGCTGTCAGAAGGCAAAAGAAGGGGTTCAAGGGTACACAGTCTGGTTAATTGGTCTATCATTTAATATATGGATGAACGTAGTGGCCGCATGAGGCGATTAAGGTGGATCATCTCTTATTCAGAAGGATACTGTGAACTCTGCCTATTATATCACACTAAGCTTCTGCACGTTCACTATGATAACTACTTTTAGCTAGACCTAAAACTACGCCATCTGGTTTCTGAACAGTGGTCTGCGCACAGACTATGGACTGTACCATTATCGCCTCTTTTGGGAGGGGGGTGTCTGTGCGTTTGGAGGGCATTCAGTAATAATAATCTCAGTATTCAATGCATGTTAGGACTGTTTGCTCATTGTGTATATACGATTTTCAGCTTGTGCCGTATGAGCCCAGCTCGCATATTTCTACTTTTGACTACACCTCCTGAATTTAGGAACTGTTGTTTATTTCGTTGAGTCTCCAGCTCCCTTTCTCCACCACAATCCCTTTGTAAATGCAGACAGAAATGGTTTCCTCTCTATCTGTCTATGGTGCCTTCTGTCCAGCAGTTATCGCCCACTACTGGTTGCCAACAGAACAAGATTAATTGAATGTTTAAATGTATCAAAGCGAATGTCACAGTTGTTACAAAAACCAAAAGCCCCTTTTTGCCGTTTTAGTGTGTCACCAAATGTATTTACTGAAGAGCTCCACATTTCCTCACTTTGGGTGTTCATTTTTTTTCTTGATGTTTTTGAAATGATGCTGTAAATGATAATTAAAATGTTTATTTATTTATATTTAACACTTTTGTATTTTTGAAAGTGATATCTAAGTGTGAGATGGAAAGAACTATTAAGCCCCTATGCAGTAAAACTTGATGTTGAAAAGTGATTCAACCTTAAAACCCCACTTTTTTTTTTTCTGTCCATGAGGCGACTGATTCTTGTTTGTATCAATTGTACTGTACAGAGCTTCTGTCTGAAGAATCTACAAGTGCCAGAGAAAGGTATATTTTTCTGTGTATTCAGTGTTGTTTGTAATACTTCACATTATCATTTTAAGTTCTCGTTATTTGTTTTGCAGATATATGTTAGTGCTGTTGTCATGATGTCCAGAGATAAATGCACATCACTAGCATGAGAATGCTAATAAATAATCATACTTTAGAATCATTTTTATTTTACAGTTAAATAATAAAAACGAAAAACAATGTCTTTGAAACTTTTCTTGTATTAAGATGATTCATAAAAATTAGTAAAAATAAAAAATAAGAGGGAGATGCTGCTCATGTAGCCTGTGTGTTTTGGTGTTTACTACATAGCCTACTGGGAAAAAATTTAAGCATTTGTTTAAGAATTTGCGTATTAATTTTAGTTTTCCCATATATCTGTTCAATCATATCTTTCATCATGAACCTGACATATTTTGCCGACCTAATGGCAGTAAGCTAAAATGTTTGTGAGATTGTCACAAAGTACTATTTGCTTATAAATATACATAAAATGTTAATAAAGTATTACAATTCGAATAATTAAAAGTTAAAATTAGAATATTTTTTAACTGAAAAGCAGCAGTCGCGGGTGATATCTGGAAATATTTCCAGGATTCAACAGTCGCTGCCAATTGTAGGCGTGGCAGATCACATGACCTGCTAGTCGCGCCTAAAACCCGACATAAGGAAATAGGCCTACTTGCTGCAGTAGGAACTCAAAAGTGAAGTTGCCAACGTAACATTTGTCTTGACAGTACCTGGCTCCTGGATGACGTTTCAGTATTATTTTTTTTCTTTTTAAATGGAACAATTAATTAAACTTTTAGACAAAATATTTTTTTAATCTAAAAAAAAGTTTGCAAATGTATTTTAGGTTTTGTATCATATTTGATAGGCTACACCATGGCTCATATAGTATGGAGCTCAATTACACTCGAGGAAGAAAAAAAAACCCATAAGTTTTATAGACGATGGCAAACTGAGCAAAAATATAGTGTTATTATTAGGTTATTTAAAAGGTAAGGTGAAATTCTGTTACATTAAATGCAAATAAATGAGACCATGAACCGAATGTGGACATTTTTAAAAAGCCTTTAATTTGCAAAAAAAAAAAAAAAAAAAAAAACTATATGCCTATGTATGGGGCATGCAGACTACAACCGATTTTTCAGATAAGTTTTGACCATTTCGACCATTTGGCTTATAATTCACGTTTCCAAGATACTGTCTGCTTTATAGCTCCGGTTAAATCACTATATTTCTTTCCCTGTTAGTAACGCAACATAGAAGTCAAAAGCATATCTCGAGACTATGCTGGACAAAATGATGTGCCTTCCTTGAAGGGAATCCTAGTCCTAGATGAAACGCAAGTCTCTAAAAAAAAAAAAAAAAAAAAAAACTACAAAATAATTCGTGTCAGTCAGAAACAACCTGTAGAAATGTCTTGGTGCGCGCGCTCTCTATGCGCCTCTGGCGAGCCTGTTCCTGACTCGCGCTCATTGGTTCATTTGGCTGATAGCACCTGACTCACAATCCACCCGTTTCTAACTGATCCATGAAACCATAAAGACAGAGCACGTATAGGCAACTTCTTGTCGACAAGCTCAGACCTTCATTTCTCAAGGTAAATTCATATGCATTTAGTTTTTAGCACTAAATAGAGTAGCCTAAAATATAAATAGCCTCACTGATGCTGCAAACGCTTTGTTCCAGATGTGCATGTGAGATTAACACAATTAGATTTAGAGTTAAAAAGTAAAACATGCAAATTATTTCCTTAACTGGAACTAAGCAATGTTTACATATAGGCTACAGCCTATTTAATTTAAAATGATAGGCTACTGCTAAATGATAATCCTCGCTTTTGGACAATGTGTAATCTTCCTAAAATAGCCTAGGTCTATTTACAAAGTTTTGAACTTGAAATAACCCGTTGTGTGTGGACGAATAATTAATGTCATCGTATTTAATACAATTATTATATAAATACCTATCTCAGAATGTTTGCATGAGCAGTAGATCACTCCAACCATATTTGTCGTTTGCAGATATTGAAAGAATGCGCGCGTGATGATTTTATATTTAGATTTGTATTGTTTCACTTTGCTCGATTTTGATGTCACGCCCCTGTAATTTTAGCGGCCGCAGAATATTCCACACTACGTGACAGACAGCACATAGTCCAAATCGAGCTCGAGCTGGATACCTGCTCGTTTATATTTAAAACAAGCATATGTGCCAGGTGCATTGATATGAAATGTGATCATTTACAATCATAAGCATTTCGCTTTTACGTGTCATGAGCAACGGCATTTCACATTCACATTTGCATTTATTAACCTTGCAGACGCGCTCTCGCAAACGCTCCATTCAAGATCATTGGCTGTGTCTCCAGTGAACTCTCTGCCTTGACTGCATATCTGGCTGGCCATCACGAGTGAAGGTTGAGCAGTCAGTCTCATATGGTCATTTAGAACGCTCTCTTTAGGCATCCAACTCCAATGAATTCTGTGAACAGGGTTGTCATGGAAAATCCTGAAAATTTTGACTTTTAAAAGTGAGATTTTGGCATATCATGGAAATGAATAAAATCTAAAATCTTAAAAAGTCAAGGAAATATTGACACTTTCATTACGTTTCAAAGGTTTTGGGTTAGTAAGATAGAATGTAATTCATCTGTTTTGTTTGTTTGTTTGTTTCTCCAAACTTTTAACAAACAAACATTATTTATTATAGTCACTTTTTATTAGAAGCAATAAAGACTTTGATTTCTATCTCACATAAATGCTGTTCTTTTGAAATTTCTATAGCTACACACACACACACACACACACACACACACACACACACACACACACACACACACACACACACACACACACACACACACACACACACACACACACACAAAAATGTAGCCTATCATGATTTCCACAAAAGTATTTTCAACTGTGATAATAATAAGAAACGTTACTTAAGTACCAAATAAGCCAACGCATTCTCATCCCAAGGCGTCATATACTGACGCTTTTGCCAAAGCGTCTACATCCCAGTGTTAGGGTTAGACCACTAGGAGGCGCCATATATCTGCGTCTCATATTGACGCTAAAGGGTGCCATGTGCGTTGGACGTAGACGCTTTGGCAAAAGCGTCAGTATATGACGCCTTGGGATGAGAACGGGCTGATTTCTAAAGGATCATGTGACACTAAAGACTATAAGTGTAAAGATGCCGAAAATTCAGCTTTCCCATCACATGAATAGATTACATTTTAAAATATATTAAAATAGAAAATAATTATTATCAATTGTAATAATATATATTTTTTAATTATATACATTCAGTTACTATCAGCATTAAGTTCATTCTAAATTAGTACAAAATGAATTGTGATCATATCTGATATGATCAGTGTGTTTCATCAATACTTTTGGACTTGGTGGAAACTGTGGTAAAAGAGCAGAAAGTCAGCTCCTATACAGTAGGTTTTGAGACTCAACCATTGTCAAGCTGATCCCTGTGTGACTTTCCTGAAAGCTTTATGAGTTGTCCATGAGTCCGGCCAATTCATGTAGCCATTGTTTTTAGATGCTGGCTTCTCGTGCACTGGTGCGGGGACTGCAGTCTGGACTCTGGAGGAGGGTGTCAACTTCATCTGGAGCCTGGGCTGCACATACTCACGGTGATCTATCTATCTATCTATCTATCTATCTATCTATCTATCTATCTATCTATCTATCTATCTATCTATCCATCTATCTATCTATCTATCCATCTATCCATCTATCTATCTATCTATCTATCTATCTATCTATCTATCTATCTATCTATCTATCTATCTATCTATCTATCCATCCATCCATCCATCCATCCATCTCTGACTGTTCTTGTTCTTGTGTATTTGTCCTCAGATGTTGATGTGCTCGATTGCTCCGCTCCTCAGTACAACAACCGTCTGGACACTCCATTGCCAGATGTTCCATTTGTCAGAAATCTGAATGCTGAACAGAAGAAACTCAAAGAAAGAGAGAAGGGACCGTGGACCCAGCTCACCAAGGAGGAGAAAATAGCCAGTAAATCTGCAGGGCTAAGGCTAACTTTTTGCTTTTTTTAACAATGGCGCCGACAGGGGGTGGCCAGGGGTGGCCATGGCCACCCCTGGCCGACTCCTGGCCACCCCAACGGCCAGAATAAATTTTAGTAGCATCAGTTATGCATTTCATAAATAAGTCAAAAATATTCTTTAGTAAAAGAAGACGGGGCATTATGTGTCGTGACGTGCTTTTTAAGTGCCAAATGGTTACAGTATAGCTACTGTTACAGCAGCTTTTTGATGCGTCTTTGCCACGTTTTCACAAGCAGGGATGCAAACAGCGCGCTTTTTGGCGCCTCTCGCTTTTTTTACGTCAGTTTGGGTGACAAAGTCATCTGAAGTCATTCCATAGCTTAATGTGAGGGACAGAAGTCTATTTACATCATTAAAGTATACGGAAACTCGTTTTCCATACCTCTGCGGCTGTCAATCCTTCTCCATTCATATTCAAACAGCGCGCGCGCCTCTTGGATGCACGGTAAAACTCTCTCCAAATTATATATTCACATTATAATGCATGATCTGTAGATAAAAGGCTGTAGATTTGCATAAAATTACTTTATTTTGTTGGAGTTTGTTGTTTTTAAACGATCACTACCGTGTGCTTGCTAGATCATCACACACACATCACAAGGACTATGAATCGGCATCAAACGCACAATAACTGGAATATAAAACTGAAACAAAGGAACAAATCGCACTAGGATTTGTGCGCTCGACATTTCTTCGCTTTGTGACGTGAACTTTTAAATACGCACTTATGCAGCGCAGCACACATAGAGTCACCATGTTGCTTTGAGCACATCATTCTGCACCCGCGATGCGCATACACGCTGTGTGCGCTCTGTTTTTCATGTTATCATCGGTTTGCGCACTGAAATATTATTAAAAGCCAATATATTTTGTTATACCTAGCCTGCTCAATACATTTGAAATAAGCATAATTTAATTGTATATTATTTCTTTGTAGTGTAGGCTATATATGCACTTCTGAATTCTTGACATTAATATATAAATATAAAATTGTGAAATGTATGATTGCCTGATTGAATTTTATAAGAGGACTAATAGTAATTTGTTTTTATTAACATATTTAGATTTTATAAAAATTACTGTGCAGATTTTTTCAAGAATTACTTTTTGCTGTTGATTTATACACTCATTAAGTTTATTTAAAAAAATCATAGTACATTTATGCAATATTTAAAGGTGTTAACTGTAATCTTACACTGCAAAATAATAACTTAAAAAGGCAAGGGCCCTTATATATATATATATATATATATATCATATACATATAATATATATCATTATATATAATATAATATATATTAGTAGGGCCCTACTAATATCATTAGTAAGCTAACATTGCATATAACACAATAAACCAAAGTATATCAGTAGGAGTTTCCTTAAGTCTTTCTGATAGTTTTCTACAGGCCGGTTTACTACAACAGTAGAATAAAATTCTGAAATTATGGTTTATAGTTTTGGTGTGCCACCCCAAGATTTTAAGTGGCCCCATCTGGCCACCCCTATGAAAAATTTCTGGAGGCGCCACTGTTTTTTAATCTACCAACAACCTTATCAAGTGGAGGCTAGACTTTGAACTTGGGTGTGGAGGAAACTGTTACTCACCTGAAAGACCAAATTTGTCTTTACAGTAGCTGTATAAACATGCTCATATGTCGTCTTCAGCATTTTTACTGTAAGTTGAAGTAGGTACTGTAAGGAAAATAGGATATACAGAACCATTCAAATGTTTGGGGTCAATGTTTTTTTTTTTTTTAAAGAAATATTTTTTTTCCCCAAAGACACGTTAAATCATTAAAAAAACGTATTTCACATTGTTATAAAAAACTTTTTCAAATAAGTGCTCATCAGAAAATTAATCCAAGAATGGCAGTTTTCAAAAAATATTAAGCACCACAACTGTTTTCAACAATAGAGACTATACGTATACTTATATTCACTTATATTATTATTATTATAAAATACGAATGGTATTTTAAACATCAAACCAGCATATGATTTCTGAAGGATCATGTGACACTGAAGACTGGAGTAATGATGCTGAAAATCCTGGAGCCATCACAGGAGTAAATTACATTTTAAAATTATATTACAATATTACTGCATATTTTTAAAAAACATTTAAAAAATCTTACAGACACCAAACTTTTGAACAATAGAGGATATTAGTAATTTATAAAATAAATTTGATATTATCTATTTTAAAAGTATTATATCCTATTTTATTATATATTATATTCTCTTCTATTACCTTTTGTATTACTTTCACACACACACACACACACACACACACACACACACACACACACACACACACACACACACACACACACACACACACACACACACACACACACACACACACACACACACACACACACACACACACACACACACACACACACACACACACACACACACACACACACACACACACATTACTTGCGTTTAATGTTACAAGTATTCAGAAGGAATTTCAGATGGAGCAACAAGCCACCCCATATCAGCCTGTCTGGCATACATATAGTGATTCTTTTTAAAATATTCTTAATATTTTTTTATATTTCACATTTTTTTATATTAGATTTGTGTACATTTTGTATATTTAATTATTTTCATATTAAATCTATATAAGAAATTATCTAATTCATTTAATATTTATTTGCAGTTTAATATCCCTGTGTGATGTATAATAGATTATTTTTACCTGTGTAAGATCCCTCAAGGCTAAATTATTAATATAGTAAATGGGTCATGGGTCTTGGGAATTACAATGCTAATGCCGGATATGCTAATGACAGTCATTTAGCCTCAGGTATATAAAGTTCTTTACCACCAGATGGCAGCGTTGTCCAGCTGTTTGAGTTGAATAGTGGCAAACCTTGCCCTCCAAGTGTGCATGCAAGCAGGGCAAACTACTAAATACAACTATTAAGATTCAGTCTGTGTGTCATGTCTCTTTCTTTGCAGTATACAGACTCACACACGAGCTGTCGTTTCCAGAGATGAAGAAAGGCTCCAAAGAGTGGATGACTGTCCTCGGGGGCATCTTCTTCTTCATTGGCTTCACAGGGCTGCTGGTCTGGTGGCAGCGTGTCTATGGTGGGTTTAAATAGGAATATATTTATACATATACATCCTCTAGTCTAAATGATGCTTAAAGTCACCATGAAATCAAAATTGACAATTCTTTTTTTTGTGGAATATTGCAGTATTTATCCATGCACTTCTTTTTAAAGTCTATGTGCCCTCATAATCTTTAATCAAAATAACTTTCCTTCCCTCTTGCAACAACATCTATTCTCTGATGACGTGTTTACTGGTGTGAGGGCGGGACAACCTGTCAATCACATGAGGTCACAGCATTAGCAAACGACAAAACGAACCAACAACCAATAAATTCCCAATTGACAAAATCAAGTCCCGCCCTACATTTTTTCTTGTTTGAAAAGCCGTTTCACTTAATATACATCACAACAGAGAAGAAAAGACTATCGCAACTTCTGTTTTATGCAGACTTTAATGGTTTTTGATTGCCAGAATATGGCGGGAAAGCTTTAAATGCTTGAATTTCAGGCATTTCATCATTACTGATACGCTTTTGCTTTGATGTGAGATCCGGGTGGATTTAATTGTGTTGATGATTTATTTATTTATCCAATCAGAGTCAGAGACAGTCATTGAATCCAAAGTCAACATAACATATTGGCTTCTGCTAAATTAAGCCTCAAACCCTCGCTTAGCATTCCCTGTCAGTGATTTCCACTTGGATTTAGTTCTTTTTGCCTTTTCATTTTTATCCCTTTCCTCTAATGTAACCATTAGATAGATCTCAGATTTGAACGTGTCAGATGGAGGAATCAGCTCTGCCTTTTTACCTGCAGCACACACTCCCACTGCATTCCCTCGGCTGAAATAATTGGACTTGGTTGAGTTTTGCAGTCAGCAGTTTAAAGGAGCAGAAGAGAGGGGAAAGATTTACGTGTTTGAGCCTCGGCTTCAGTTCAGGAATCCCTTTAGACCCAGCTGAACTTCTTCACAAATGATAGGAAGAATTCCAAGGCTGTGTGTCTAAGGCAGATGGAAAGCAGTTGACATGTTTAAAACAGAATGAGTGTGCATTGTGTGTGTGTGTGTTTGTATAAGTGTGTGAGTGAGTTCTTGTCGGAAGCAGACGAGTCTCCTCAATCTCGGTCTCAGAAGCCCCAGTTCTTTGAGGAAGGAAGTCAATGCTACATCACCTCAGGAGAGACACAGTAGAGGAAAATAATGCAAGGAGGGAAGAAAACAGAGAAACTGTGAGAACAAAAGTTTGGTGAGGATCCTTGGGGGGGTAGAAGTAGTCAAAGTGAGAAAGGTATACAGAAGTCCAAAAGTCAGTTGTCGGTTGAGCGCTGGGTATTTCCCACATTGTCTGGCTCATGTTGTGACTTGAACAACTCTGCTCTTGGGCGCTGTTCTTCGAACTCATTAAGACTCGTCTGAGGTTGACTTCGGCATTTGTCGGGATTTAAAGAGGAGATTAATTGGGCCACCTTTTTTTTTTGGAGAGCCACCTGAGCCGCAGGTTCTTGCAGGCATCTCTGCCCGGCAGCGACTGCCCCAAAACTGAAAAGAATTTCCTTCACATACCTCAGGGCAGGTGCACAGACTCCACCTGGCTAAAAAAATAAACTGTTTTCCATAATCTTTTTGATGTGTTCATGTGGTAGAAACTATACCGTCTGCCTTGAGGGTAGGTGGGGAGATGCCCTTGGAAAAATTACGTATTATAAACCAAATACCACAGAGTCCACATATACTGGGATTCAACATTTAAACCTGGAGACAAACAAATTTTACGATTTTGAAAAATGTACAACAAAGCATTATTATTATAGCAATGTAAGAAATTGGCCTATATACACACCCCTGTTAAAACAGATGATTTTTTGTGATGTAATAATGAAAGAAAGATAAATCACATCAGAACATTTGCATGTTTAATGTAAAAATTACAATGAAAACCAAAGTGACATTTCAGAGAAAATTATAAAAAATATATAAATATTTTATATATAAAATAGAAATATCTGAAAATAGAAATATGTGTTTTTAATTCAAATTTATTTTGTTATGCTGTTAATTTGTAAAACTATTCAATTATAAAAAATTAACAATAGATGCATTTTTTGGACTTTTGAACTCTACTGTATGCCAATTTTCAATGCAACATTCTTACAATTTGGTTGTGAAATAATATAGGCTCCACCACTGCAACCTTTTTTTGACCGAGTGTATTTGCATATTTATTTGCTCCATTTTTACATGAACCAGGTTTGTGATATTAGCAGACGTGTTTGTGGATGGTGTGCAGACACAATTGTTTTCTCTAATTTGTTTATTTTTTTGTCGCCTGCTCTTTGCCTGGAGGATAAAACCCCAGCAGAAGAGTCTGAGCTGGCAGGTGCTGCCCTCTGTTAGGACACTTAATTGCTGACTATCTGTTTTTTTTTTTCTGCTGACAGGTCTACAGTTCCACTGAGGGGATTTTGCACAATAACTGTGTCTTCCACAGCGACATCTTTCCCGCTTTTTTAATTGAATGATTTACCAGAGTTTATCTTAAGCCTTTAAGAACTTTTGATAAATTCCATGTTTGTTTGGTTATTCTGTGAAATATATTAATACATTAAGGGGATTTCTGAATAGTTTGTTGTCCCTTAAAGGGATAGTTCACCCCAAAAATGACAATTTTGTCATCATTTACTCACCCTCAATTTGTTCTGTTGAACACAAAAGAAGATATTTTGAAGAATACTGGTAACCAGACAGTTGATGGTAGCCATTGACTTCCATAGTAGAAAAAAAAAAAATACTGTGGAAGTCAATGGCTGCCGTCAACTGTCTGGTTGCCGACATTCTTCAAAATATCTTCTTCTGTGTTAAACAGAACAAAGAAACTAATTTTATACTCACAGATTTTGGACAAAACAATGTATTTAATCTAGAATTTCTCTAAATTCTTTCTTCATGTCACCGATTATGTTTTTGTCTGTTTGGCAGTGTATGGTGATGTTCCGCACACTTTCTCTCAAGAGTGGGTCGACAAGCAGACACAGAGGATGATAGATATGAGAGTGAACCCCGTCCACGGATTCTCTAATAAGTGGGACTATGAAAAGAAACAGTGGAAATGAATGCATTCTGATGTAATAATAACTGAGAATGGATCAGGTTTGCATTAATGAGACGTTCCAAACTCAATAATGCTGTGCAACCGGCAGCCTTAAAATATATACCTGTGTGAATCCAAATAAATGCACTGAATTAAACTCAGAGCTGCTTCAGTATTCTGGCTTTGTACTGTTTGTACTGAGAACAAAGCATGTGTGTTGGTACATTTAACCTGATACCTGACTACCGTAGAATTGAATATGCCTTAACATGATTGGCTGGGGCAGGTGGAGTGAGAGAGTGTGTTATTGGCTGAGGAGTTAATCCAATCACTTTTCAAGTGCCTAAAATGACTTGTATGACAAGTTCATTATAAAAGTACACATATTAAATGTAGTTCATCTAGTTTTAGATGAAGTCACACTGCTGTCACTGCTTGAAATGTCATGTCAACTATCCAATAGACACACTGCTAATTGCGTTCAACAAGTGGATCCATTAACCACTAGGCAATTTAAAGGGTTAGTTCACCCAAAAATGAAAATTATCTATCTATCTATCTATCTATCTATCTATCTATCTATCTATCTATCTATCTATCTATCTATCTATCTATCTATCTATCTATCTATCTATCTATCTATCTATCTATCTATCTATCTATCTATCTATCTATCTATCTATCTATCTGAACAAAAACTAACAAAAATACTGAGTTCCCCAGATAAAATTTGTTCCCCTATTGAAAATGTTTTTTGTCAAAATGTGAGAAGCTTGTACTTAAAGACATGCCTGAAGTATGGAGTCCTGAGGGATTAATGAAAAGAAGCTTTGGCAAAGCTGAAAGGAATGAAAACAATTGCACTTCAAACACAAACCCAGACACCATAAATACTCTGCATGGAGAGGCATAGTACTACGGCAAAAGAAATGAATGGTGTGACGTAGGAAGTGCCGCCCCCGAAGAGCGACTATCTTCAAACAGTATTCAGTAGGCTACTTTCAACAACAGCCCTAGCGTTGCTTCAATGAACGCGCCTGTCTCGATGTCATTCGTTGGCGGTAACAGAGCACGCTTAATTTCTGCACGATCCGTGCCGCGCGTTGGAAAAACTGAATCTTGCCAAAAAGCGTGGAGATATACTTGTACATTTTACATACAGCAAAAGTGCTTCTTCGTGCGCTGACTTGGTTGCTATTTTCTCTTCCGTCTTTTCTGGGACCTCGAATGTCAGTGGAATAATTAGAAACACAGCGCTAGCTTTAACTCTCTTCTTCGGTCTCGTAACGTCAACGACGACGTCGCAGGGTATTTTCTCGCTATTGGCTGGTGGTTCACTGGAATATAAGCGCAGTGAGTCTGAGCTGTGAAGGGGCATTCCTCGCGCCGCGCTTGGATCTGGACCGCGCGCGCTGCAGCAACGGCCACTCTGTCCATCATCGGCGCGCGCTGGACATGCAGGTTTGCAGACAATTATGGCTATAAAGGTCTAATAACCAATGAATGTGATACTCAGTTATATTATTATCCTCAAAAATTCCATTCCAATGAGAGAAATCACGTCAGCGTGGTGTGAATTTTTTTCTTAACCCTTCTCTGTGGGAGACTTTTTTCAGTTACGATGTACTTCGAATAACCGAATCTTTACCGCTCGCGCTCGTTTTTATCCTGTTTAATAACGATGGCTAACGAAATTCGCTATGACAATCGGAATATTGTGGAGAAATACCTCAATCACAAACTTTTAAAGAGGGGATATGTATGGAAACTTCCATCTTCTGGGGAAGAAGATGACACCTTCAATAAAGGAGAGGACTCCTCTCCAAACTCTGACAGGAGGAGGCTTCAGGCTCCCTCGGCCGGCGGGGGTAACAACTCTGAATGCCTGATAGCCCACCGGCTCACCCTTTCAAACCCTCATTTGAGGCTCTACCGGGTGTTACGCGAGGCTGGAGACGAGATAGAAAGGATGTACCAGCGTGAATTTGAGGAGATGTCCCACCAGATGATATTTAGTCCCAATGCAGCGCAACGCAACTTCTTAACCGTGGCTGAAGAGCTCTTTAGAGACGAAGTGAACTGGGGGCGGATCGTGGCTTTCTTCGAGTTTGGCGGGACCATGTGCGTGGAGAGCGTCAACCGGGAGATGGCGTCCCAGGTAGATAGTATTGCACACTGGATGACAGACTACCTGAACGGGCCACTGGAAAACTGGATCGAGGAAAATGGAGGTTGGGTAAGTTTATGGTCAAATGATCGTGACCTTTGCCCAGTCATTCATTACTTCATCTCTGCAGGTGAAGCTTAACATCATAACAACACAGTCTTAAACCGAAGACCCATGCAATGTTGTTTACTATCCCCTTTTACCAATCAAATGATTACTTTCTTAGGTTTGATTCTACTAAGGAGGGTCACAGAAAATTGTTTAAAACCCCATGAGAGCAAAATTCAAGTTTTTGTTCTTTTTTGCTTTGTGGCTTATTTATCCAAGTGCACCCCTAAACACTGACAAAATTGGGAAATATACTGGGAAAGGGACTAAAATATTGATGATTTATCATGTACTACAGATTTGTGTCCAATCAAATTCTCTCTAGTAAGAGAAAGTCCTTCCTCCATATCACCCAGCACTTAGCAATTCATGTTTAGGGCTGTGATCTAGCTAAAGGCTATTGGATATTTAAAATATGTTTTGTCCAAACTTACTGTTTCAGTAGAAAGTATGTTGTCACTAGGAAAATAACTACACAACCGTAAAGTGATTCATGGGGTCTTTATGGCGTGCAAGTTGCGTAGTAAGACTTTTACATAGTTTCAGGCTCTAGTCTAAGGCAATGAAATGAGTTGAATTCATTGTGTCTGCAGTGCTATTAAGTAGAATGGGTTAGTTGTTTGAGTGGTACTGGTCTGGTTTGAGGTGAGTCAGCTTGGGTTTTGACAGTTCAATCGAGGTGAAAGTGACACTTCAATCATTGTAAGCCACTCCCCTCTTATGTCCTAGGCATCCTTTTTCTCAAGGACATATGACTTTGTTGCATGCTAGGTCATATGCATTCTTAATGATGGCTTGGTTGTAATTGTAAATAATTCCAGCAAAGGTATTATACCTATAGGAAAAAAATAGTTTATGATTAAATGAAACACTGTAAGGTAGAAAGACGATTTTTTTAAGAGATAAAGAAAGATGTTTTTGCTCGAGGTGAAGCCTCAGAGAGTTCATGCATGCTGTGATTTACCAGTGGGACAGTTTAAAGAACATGCTATTTTCTGTGCCTGAAGACACCTAGGTAGGGTTGTGGCAGCTGCTCGAAAGCCTCATCGCTTGGACTATTTGTTTTGAAGTCTTATTAAATTAATAAAATGTATTTATGATCAAAATTAAATTGCATTATAATTATTATAATAAATAATATTTTATAATAGATTTTTACTATCAAAAATTTATAAAAAAAAATCATTATAATAATATTTAATAAAATTCCTGGTTGGGGACTTTGAAAAAATAATTTGTTTTTATGTAAATTCACGAGTCATTCAAGGTTAATGGTGCAACACTCAGATACTATATAGTGCATGTTACTTTAATGCTACCACTACACTAAAATACACTAAATTGTTACTTACACATGGCTGGCGCAACTGTCCCCTGGTGGCCTGTCTCTGAAAAGAAAGGAAATCTGGCACGTGTAAAAACCGAGTAGCCTATATGAATGTCCAACTCCCTAGTCAAAACAAGTAAACATTTTTATTTCTTCTTTTTTCCTAAAGAGCCCTTGCTTTAACACTATCCTTCACTCTGACTGCAGTGCTTCTGTGCTGAATTATTTACGGTATAAATTGGTGCAGCCCATCATGGTTGTGTTGATCCTTTATGGTTGGACTGACTCCACCCTATTCATCTCAGAACCCCAGTCTAAGATGAGGGCTGTAGACAGGACTGTCCTCCAAATCATGAACTGAACCACATTATGTGTGTTATAATGTTAGATAAAAATGGTTAAATGGTGTTAAATTGCAGTTTGGGAATATTTTCTCCTTTCCTTCAAACAATCAACCATTTGAGCATTGTATTATGCGAGATGGAACAGTCTAGGGATGCACTGAAATTTCGGCCACTGAAAATAGCCTTTTTGTTTTTGGGTCGAAAGAGAAATACGGCAGAAAAATAAACGCCGCTTGATATTTTTTGAATTTAGAATCATTAAAATGGTTGAATTTCATTAAAAAGTCTATTATTAATGCAAAAAAAACCTCATTTAAAATTAGAAATTTAACAATTTTTAAAAAGCATTTTCAGTTTCGGTTCTCGGCCAAGTGCATCCAGAATTTTCGGTTTCGGTTTCGGCCCAGAATTGTAATTTCGGTGCATTCCTACAGTCTTCTTCTGACTGCAGACTAGAGGACAGCCTAGATTCTCCACTGTCGGGTACAGCTGTGCAGGTGGCCCAGCGGAGCCAGAGCCATTATTCCTGTCTGGATGAAAGGTGTGCTGGGACTGAATTAATGATGGTCATTACTCACCACATCTGCTGCAGGTTAGACTGACTCAAATGGCCTGTGATAAAGAGAGGAATGGGGAGAGCTTTTCAGAGCGACCACCGTACACAAACACTCTTGCTTTCCCATTATTTCTTTCTCTGTCTGTTATTTTAAAGGTCAGTTGTAATGAATAGATGTTGAACTATTTTATTATCTATATAGTGATGTATGACTGTATCAACTCTGTCATTCCTTTAGTGAAGAGATCATGCGGTGCAATTAGGATACAATTAGCAGAGAAGCATTTTAATAAGCCTTTACATGTTCCTGCATTATTCACAAAGCTCAGCACTTTTGTCCAGAGGCAATGAATGATTTATTTATTTCATTTTGTCATGAAAAGCACATCTAGAGTTTGCATTAAGACTGTTATTGCTGAGAGAATTGGCTCGCTCATGAGAGTTATATATTACACTGAGTCTGTCATTAACAGCTTCTTTAAACGTAGGAATTGTTTTGAAGTGCTGAGAGCATTTGACGTTGATATATACTCGCACAGGGGATGCTTCCCGCTTGATTTCCTCTGTAGTTAGTTATTTTAGGGGAATCTTTATTAAGTTACTGATAATGTCCCAATAGCTTACCATCAGAGCGCTGGTGCTGTTTTGGCCTGTTCATTTGCTTATGCCTCATATGAAGAATGCATTTAAAAACTTGCTGTTTGGAGATTTATAAGGACTTTTATCTCAAGAACAGAAGCATCAATGGGGATGCAGCCAGTCAAAACACTACTATAAGCTTTACTTAAATGTAGTTTTGATCTGTTACTCTGTATAAAGTTCAAGTGACTAAGGTAATGGAAGAAGAACAATTCTTTGCTACGGCCTTTGCTAAGCGTACCACAAGAACGTCAAGTGTTGTGTGATATTAATTTCCCCCATTAAGGTCCTCAATGTGTCAGAAGGGCTTCCCATTTGCCCTAAATTGGTCAGATGGCTTCTCTTCTCTGGCTGAAAATTTTTTTTCTCTCCACCCATGGTTAATCCCAACTTATTATCCTCCTTTTGAATTAATGTGATTCATTAATCCTTGGATAAAGCCTGTCTGTGAAGAATATATGATTCAGCTGTACCACAGCGCTCTGTCTTATTACTATTTTTCCAGGCCCCCTGCAGGGATACCCCGTTTACCCAGCTTGCCTTGGAGACCATTGTCTTACTTCCGCCACTATCACAGGTTGAAATGGACTCAACAGACTTTTAAATGCATGTTCTGTTCATGTAGATGGTCTTTTGTTTACAATGATACAATTATACTAGACATAGGCCTAATTAAATTGGTTCTGTTAGCCATTTTAATGTAGTTCTTCTTAATGATGGAAGTAAAACTTGCGTGAATGGATGTAAAATAATAATTGTTGCCGCGATTTTAGAAACGGCTTGCATGAGTCTGCAAACTGAATCAACGTAGTTTTATGCTGCTTGGAAAGTTTTCCATCCATTTTGGCCTTTCTCGTGACCCTTTAACTAAAAATTGCCTGTAGAAGTGTTTTATAGGTGACTGCAAAAAATAGACTCTCAACACCTTTCCCTGCCTTTCTTTTTTCAGAAAAGAACATTCTATACATGCTACTCAGGTTTCCTTTTGTATGTAAGCACATTTAACATTGGAGGCTTATTCAAAGTGCACACATGTCTGTTAGCTTTTATGTCAAAACCAGAGAAACAAGGTAATTTCTTTCCTTTTTTTGAGTTGAGAAAATGTAAATTTATACTAGAATGATACTCCCCCACAAGGGGAAAACGCTCTGTTATGTCATCTTTTATTAAAGCATGTTATATCTCATGGATTAAAATAACTTTTTAAAATGGTTTAATTGCTTTTTTAATGTGTTTAACAGAAGCTGTAGGAGTAGAGTAGGTCTGTTGCCTCCCAATATTTGACAGCACTGCACATGGCAAAATAGAGCAGATGCTCAGACATTTAGGACTTCTGGTTTGCAAAATGCTTAATGAGCTTTCTCATTACTGTGTAACCGCTTTGAGCTAGCTCATTTAGCATGCTCTTTTTTCCACCCCCTCTCTCAACAAATTGATGTTTACTATTGTCGTAATTGCCATGTTACTGTTGAGGTTTAGGTAAAGATGGAGCTTTTTTGGTTTGGTGAACTGAGATCAAGTGCAATGCTTCTAAGTGGGGCGTTTGCACATAGGCACACTACCGGTAGTTATCCCAATGCACAACATTTGCTTAATAATCTCTCACTTATTGTTGAGATTGAGTGAAGCTATTATAATTAAGTCAATCAGCAGTTTATGTTAGATTCAGCTTAAACCTTCATATTTTACTATAGTTTTACTATCCTTGTTGTGACTTCCGGAGGCAGCCTAGCGTATGGCATACATAGTTTAACTCCAGCCCCGATTCAGATAATGAAATCAGTCCGCGTGTAAGTTTGTTTAGACAAACTACAATTGCGCAGGTGCTCACCCACACACCACATACCTGCGGTTCATTACAGGTTTCTTGCTGTGTACAGTACACTGCTGATTCTGATACCTTAGAGGCACGTTTGACCCCACCTGGGTCTTTTGTTAGTGGGTGTTGCGTTTTGGGGCGTTTTACAGTTTGAGTCAAAGAACTTCAAAAGTTCTAGCATCGCTCTTGTATTCATTTTTCCCGAACATGTGCCTCCTACAGCCCTTTCAAGTGACACTGTTTATGAAAGCGATATTGACAAGAAAGACAGACCAT